TAAAACTAACCAAACAAAACCTTTCTTTTACCATATGAACAGTTTTAGACCCACTGGAGTAACAGGGTATAATCGATTTTTATTTTTCTTCAGATTAGGTCATTGCAGTGGTGTCCATTAATAGGAATCTATTTTCGGGGTGGATCAGGAAATTTTCTTGGCCTTAAAAAGTATTGCGTCATCCGTGATTGCATCAGATTTTCATCACGCACAGACACTATTGTCTCGACAGTCGATTAATTGTCCTACGGCCATTGTCTGCGATGGACGTTACTCCAAGAAAGTGTGCGAAAATTGTAACGCTGCAGGAACACACTGGCAAACCTTAACAGTGAGCAAATCAAAGTACTATCGACTGGCACGGAAACTGTCCTGATTAATTCAAAACGAGAACCTGTGGTCAATATTCAAGGAACGACTTCATGGAATAGGCATACGAAGTACTAACATGTGCTCTGGATCATGTTTCATTGGAAAAATACCAAAAGAGAAATAATTAAAAAAATAACGGAATTATTCGTTTTGCTTCAATTAATTTACGCAAGGGTGTATATCTACAAAATCTGAGTCTTATCTACCAGATACACAACTGTGAAAGCAGAACAACATGTATCATATTTATTTTAATTGAAAACTCCAAAGAACTCTAAATTTTGGAATTAAATGATCCATAAGGAGTTGATATGTCTTTTCACAAACAGACAAAGAATTGATGAGCAAAGGTCTCCAGGAACAATTACAAGATGCTTGACACTTGCTACATTCGTTAATAACTTGTTCGTTAGAATGTTTTTTCGGTACTAATAATCCTTTGACTCAATAAATCCTCTATTCAACTTTCTTTCTTTTTATGTGCCGTTTCCTTTCAGGGCGTAGGCGATCATGGCTTTTCATTTTCCCCTATCCCTTGTAACTCTCTATAAGTTTGTCCGTCTTGCACCCCCCAGACCACGATCTGTCACCCACTTGCTTAAGCCCGCTGGATATGTCATGCGTTGCTTTCCCTTGTCTCTTTTCCCCTCTATTCGACCTGTGAGTATCAGATTCTCCAGGCCCCCCTTTCTCATCACGCGTCCCAGAAACTTCCGCTGCGTCTTCCCGATGTTAAGCCTCCTTCTAAAACAACTATAAATGAATAAAATAAAATAAAAATATACAAATGGGGGCCACATCTGTATCTGATTGGCTGTTTGGTTGGCAGTGAAATCAACCAGAGCTTTTGGAGAATAAGAAAATCAATTTGGTTTGACAAAACAAAGTTTAGAACAATTAATTTGGTCAGACTATTCAGGGGATAAGAGGAAACATAGTTCATGAAAAGGAGACCCACCTGGGACGAAAACTTGCACTGTTTCATATTATTTTCGGCTGATATACAGACATACCCACAAATAAATGATAGATAATTTAATTTTTAATCAATTCAAACCGAGCAAGGCGATAATGCCACTAAAACGAAAAAGGATTACTGAGAGGGAAGGGGAATAAGACCTTAGAAGTAAACGGAAACTCAATCTTGAACAGTAAAGAATGGATAAACATAGACTTGTGTTCAAAAGACGGTGGTGGGGGGGAGTGAATATTACGATACACGAACTTATCGACTCCTACTGAATGAAAAAAAAAAATAGTAAATAAAATTTCCAAGTTTAGGTGGAGATGTTAGAAGAATAAATTTGAAGTAGACGTAAAAGGAACAGGAAACAAGTGATAAACCTCTATTCCTGTTCAAAAGTCTGAGGAGGAGTATTTGTATTATATATATATATATATATATATATATATATATATACTTGAGCCCTTACCACCGGTGGTAGAGAAAAATGACGTAATGCCCAGCCACCGGTTGAACAGTGATAGAGAAAAATGACTTAATATCCAGCTACCGGTGAGCAAACACTTGTAACATTACATAGCAACTGCACAGACAGAAGGGTTGAAATTGTTCAGAAACGCAGGGCTCAAAGTGTTAATGCTAAGTTCTGGTTATTAACAATTATTTTATTATTATAGTAAACTTTTCCTGTTGTTTTTTCCCACTGTTTTGTTTTCAGAGTTAAACTTCTCCTAAAGTGGCTGCTAACCATGGCTAGAGTGATCAGTTACAACTGACCTCTGGAGAAGTGTTGGATACATGCCTTTTCTAAATGTATTAGCAGATCAGATTATGTTGGAATTTGAACTCGGCACCCTTGCTTCCTCTTACCACGCCAATATCCTTTAACGCCATCTGTCCATCTAAAGCTGGCACACTTTCCAAATAATGTACAAAAGTAGTTGTTATGGATCTTGCAAAGAAAAAACAAACATATACATAAGCAAACACAGCTATATATATACTAATCTACAACAAACACAATCATGCTACTACTGTCCCATCCTGATCGTAAGTCCTATGACCGTGTGTAGGGGAATTGATCAGTTTCCTCCACATATCCGGATTGATAGTCATGCAATTATGCATAGCGTTACTTGGGCAATTAAACTTGGTGGAGACCATCCCATTCCAGGCCAAACCACAGTATATGCCTTCCAATTTAAAGACACACCTTGGTCAGGGACATGTGACCCTTGATTCCACATCGTTGTGGAATCAAGGGCCACATGAATGTTGGCTAAAATCTAGGAAGACTTTCGCCTTGTGACGCCGTGTCATCACTACGCAGGCTTGCATACGTAGCTATAGAGACCAATCTACTCGATTGTGCTAGATGGCCTCTGACCCTATAAGACACTAACTACTGGCTCGAAAAGAAGTTTGCCCAGATGCTCATTCATCGACTCTATTCTTTGTCACTTATTGTGGCAGGCCAGTAACGAAATATTTTTGCTGAATATCCAGTGACCAGAAACAGGCGAGGAAAGGTAGATTTGTTTTTCTCAACGACCTTAGTATGAAGTATGTAAGTTGATTTATTCGTCTGGCTGATGCCGGGAACTGCGACATCATGTTATCTCTGTTAACCTTTAATTTTTTTAATTTTAAAAAATGATGATCACTCTGTACAAGGCATGAGAGCCACTCGAGGTAGAGAGTTACAGAGTAAGAGAGACAACTGATGAGGATATGGATGAAAGATAGCGATTAACTCTAGACTTGAACAGGTTAAGATTGGAGTAATCAGGAAGCATCCTCTTGGGAGTCGGTTCTGTAAAGCAGCAGTTTGTGGCAAGAAGCTGCTCGAGTGGAACTTAAAACCCACCGAAGGGAATGAGGGTGGTTCGCTACAATGGGCGTGGCATGACGGGTCTTAGGACTGTGTAGTTCACCTGAACACTTTCCATGGAAATGGCGATAGAGCAACGAGATACTTGTAGTGTTTCATCTGTGAGAAAAGGCGTTGCAGCGTGGAAAATAATTCGTCAACCACAAGGACGCGGCGGAGACGCTTTTGCAATCATTCTAGTGTGGAATGCGAAGACTGGAAAGCTTTTGCCCATATATGGCAGCAGTACTTCATTTTTCGGCCTGAGCTGGCTGCTGTAAATTTAAAGAATAACAAGAAGAGTCAGGTACTTGCTGTAGCGGTACTGGAAACTGACCATTTTCCAGCATCTTTAGCGATAGATCGTATGGACGAATTTCACTTGAGGTCTGGGCTGATTTTCATCCCATTAGGCGTTCATCGCGATTGGTGAAAGTTCTGGGTCCGGTCGGCAATAGTGGAATGTCACTAGTTTGGCTTTCGGGGCATTGAATGTGACGAGCCAATATTTTCCCCACTCATCTGTGGGAGCTAGATCAGAAGAAAAGATCAGCTGCTAAGCTCTAGCCATCTAATGTTTCGGAGGTGCATCAATATACAGTTGTTATACATACATACATACATATACATATACATATATATATATATATATGTGTGTGTGTGTGTGTGTGTGTGTGTGCGCAGCCAATACTAAATAAGATTAATTATGAGTATAGCCACAATGTTTTAAAATTCCTATAAAAGCAATGTTTTGGGATAATCAAATTCTAAAAAAAAAAAATCATTATTTTAATTTGCAGGTTCAGTATTTTAAAACATTAATAATAAAAAATATAAATTAAGTTACCTCCTTTACATATTCTTAACAGTTAATTTTTAAATTGACTATAGCGGATCGTGTTTCATGCGCATTTACAAAAAGCTTCACAACTATCAATTGCATTAATTTTTTTCTTTGCAATTCAACCCTGAAGATGACCTTGGATGAAATTGAAACACTTGGGAAAATAAAAGAAATAACCATGTATATACTAGAGTGCATTAATCAAAACTCCATTCATTTATATATTGTAATACTCATCATATGGTGTCTTCCGATGATCCTAAAACCTGTTAGGGAAATCGTTGACCCACCGCCCAACTGGGGTGAAAACACTATTAAAGTGTATAAATAGGTTTTTATAGTAAAAATATCAGCAATAGATTTTTGGAGAAAAATATTATCAGCAATAGATTTGACTCGACAATGAAACCTGATCTATAAACTGATTTCTTACAAAAAATACATATTTTACTCATACGAACCTATCCTAAAAATCAGGTCGGCATTAAATAACCTATTGTAAACACCGTAAAATTAAATAAAACAAAATAAAGCATACGTGTACCAGATGTGTCCAAAGCCAGATATTTATGCATTTGCAAGGCTGGTTTTTGCAGTAATCCAGCTGAAAAGATTGATACAGCACGACCTTTCTTCTCAATGTTTCATCATTTGATCTTGTGCCGTGCTTGGTTAAACTTAGCAATTTTTAATATCGACATTTCTTTTTAATAGTCTATATAAGGTTGTTTTTTTGTTTTTTGTTTTTTGTTTTTTAAGTATATTGAGTTCATCATGCAATTCTTGGAGCCAATGTTAGAGTCCTATGGAGGGTTTGGTTGCGTGTCACGCGTCTGAGTTAAGAGTCGATGGTCTGATGCCAGAGATAGGTCACCGGGCTTAGTGCAGGAAATGACGCAGAAGTTACCCGGATGCGACTGACATAAACATCCGTAGGAGCTGTCATTGTTCTACATGAGTTCGAAGAAATTCCCGGGCGAATGACGGGGAGGAGACGAGAATGACGGGACAATTGAAATCTTAGGAAAAAGAGATAAGCGTGCGCGTTGAGAGAGAGAGAGAGAGAGAGAGAGAGAGAGAGAGAGAATCTTTGTAAGCATGAAAGAGTGGGGTGAGGAGAGAGAAGGGGAGGGGAGATAAATATGTATTAAGATGTAGCTACAGAATGAAGAATATCAGACACAAAAAAGGGAAAAAGTTATTTTTTCAGAGGAGAGGTAGAGAGAGAATAATGAGGAATATTTTCATTAAAATTAACTTTAGGAAGGAAACAGTCCATATTAGATGTGACATGAAATGGAGTGCAGTCTTGCTATGAATGGATTTTGAAAGTAAAGCGTTAATCTTCGATATGACTGATAAATGAGAGAGAGAGAGAGAGAGAGTGGATATCGCAAGAAAGATCTTCATTAAAATTATTTTAGTTAAATAAAAGTTCACATTAGATGACCACTAAATTTGTGGGGCAGAATTAATTTCAACTAATTTTTTTACATTGTAATTTGTAATAGAGTTTTCTATTTACGAACGTGAAATCTGTGAAATCCTCAGCACACAGATTTAAATTTCAATAAATCTGTGACGTTTTGAAACGAAATTAAAATTTAATTTATTGATTTTCTTAAATTTTGATCAGTAACGACTTCTTTTGAACGAGAGTGTTTTACAAAAAAAAACCAAAAAAAAAACCAGCTATGCATTCTACTGTTCTTGCTACAAAGAACGTTGCATTTTTATTGGATCAGATTTAAATGAATAAAAGTAAATAATAAAGTACTACTTTATTCATTTGCAACAACAAAAAAAGAAAAAAATGAATGAATTTGCAGAAAAGATGAATTCTGAGTTATCTTATCTACTAAAGATTTTTAATGCTAAATAAAAAAAATTATTAACAACTTGTTTAGGAATTCATGGAAATTGATAATTTTGATATTAAATCGAGTTGAAATTACTTCTGTCACTCCTAAATTTGGCATTAATCTCAGGCCACAGTGCAACACAACTGTTTGTAAATAAATAATATATTAACTTTCTAAGCTTAGCTGTGGCACAAGGCTGAACTTATGGGGTACCTAGTGAGGATCGAACTCACTATTCAGTCATAACCGTTTTAGCAAGACAAGCTTGCTAACCATTACACCATGCTGAGGTACCCAATATCATTTTCTAAGTGTAGCTTAGATGTGGCACAAGGGCAAAAGTATGAGTCACCTAGTGAGGATCGAACTCACTTTTCAGTCGTAACTGATCTAGCGAGACAAGCTTGCTAACCATTACACTACGCTGAGGTGCCTAAATAAATAATATATAAAGTGAAGGCATATAGATCTTTATTATGATTCTGTTCGTTTTTATGAGCGACCGGTATATTTTTCTTCAGGGATCAGAGTGTAGCATCTGTTTGAATCTTAGTTCTGCTCAGCTGGGCCCACTGACGCTTTTTAACTGCGTCGGCTCCCTAATAGTATTAACATGTGAACGTGCCGAAGGTTAATTACGAAATCAGACTTTAAACACCAGCTTCATAATCGCCATCTTAAACAAGGAAGAAAACATTATCAGTTGATATATAACTTTCTTTTTACACTAAAAGTCCCCGCCCAGTGATAAAAACTCTTTGTTGGCCCCCGCAGATTAAAATATATGTGAAAATGCCATGGACGAGATAACTCGTAGTCACTGTTATAATAGAAAGAAAAAAACTGCCAACTGCGAGTTAATGTGTTAAGAAGTAGAGAATCGTGTAATATGCGACTCACCCATGACGATAGGAAAGTAAACTTTAAATTCAGTGTTGCACTAGGCTATCAGAGAAGCCAGGTGCATTAGCGGGTTGACTTAGAAGGTAACACCTTAGCCTGTAGGTGCAGATTCGTATTTCATAGGATATCAGTGACGGTTACAGACCTCGCAGTGCTTACTAGATGCACACGTCGGACAACCGATAACAAGAAGATATATAAGCGTCTACCTTAGAGGGAAAAGTAATAGTGGGTCTTTAATATTCTCATTAAAAGAATCTACGTTCGGAAAAACAAAAAACAAAACTACACACTTACCGGTTGCTATTTAATTGAAGATGGATAATGTTTGGAGTAAATAAACAATAATTTTACATATAAGGAGCCAGTACAACCATATTATTTATCATCTACGTGCCGTGCGCCTTCAGAATGTGGGCTATTATGGCGCTCCACAACTTCCTATCATTTGTATATCTTGGCGAGTTTTGCCTTTCATCATCCATCTCACTCTGTTCTTTCATCGATTTGCACAAGCATATTGGTAAGGTTACTGTTTCCCTCTGCCCTTTTTCAATATGTCCTGAGAGTGTTAAACTTTCTAAGCCCTCTTTCCTCATTATGTGTTCTAGAAATTTAATTCGTATCTTACTGAATTTAAATATAAACATAGATTTTGTTTCCATTTTCATTAAAACTTTATTGTTACTCAAATTGGAGAGAGAGAGAGAGAGAGAGAGAGAGAGAACGAGGGAAACCAGAAGTGAGGAACAGAGAGAGAGAGAGAGAGAGAGAGAGGGGGAAGAGCCAGGATTACAATAGTGTGACATTTGTTGACACCAATTTCGTTGACAGAGTGCAGTTTCTTACAGTTAAACGCGTGTGGATTAAAAATTACCCTTCGCCTTAATCATTACCCACGAGTAAAAAACAAAACAATTTCTAGCTGTAAACCAGATTTTATCCTTGTAATAAATAACTTTATCCCTTTTATTCTGTCTGATATACTTCAGTCGCTAGTACATATTTATCTCCGCTCCTCTTCTATCTCCCCGCCACACTCTTTCATGCTTACAAACATACCCCCACTCTCTCTTTCTCTTGCTATAAGCGAGCGAAGTTGAATTGAGGTGGAGGTGAGATGAACATTCTAACGGGTGTTTTCCCTGTCCGTCGTTCACTCAGGCCCACTTCGTCTCTGTGTGTGTCTTTTCGCTGGTATTAGTCAGTTTTAAACCTAACATGATCCTTTGTCACCGTCGTCCTTGTCTAAAAAGGTAATTTATCTTCATTCAGCGATTTCGCTTTGTCTGAACCGCTTGTGAAACCCGCTTCAGGATACTGATAAATATCGGTCGAAAATAAATGTTTCAAATCAATTTTTGCGACAGGTCGAAATGTTTTCAATTTATCAAGACCTCATTTGACTGCTACTGCTACGCAATAAGAATCGAACTCATTATACAGAAAATGGTACCCGAGAAAAAATGGTAAATATCGCGTTTCGGCATTAGACACAATTCTCCATAGTTATTCCGTTTGCAATTTGTGATAAGTGTTTTCTATTCAACCATCTTCGGATTTTTTCTCCTTTATTTAAGGAAAAGGTTACAATATCAGAAGACCTACTTCAAACGGATAAGTTTCTAGTCAATTGATTGTCGTTATTTGTTTTTTACTTGAATGACTTTTACACATCCTTTCCAATTCTGTAAATTTGAAAACCAGAAGAAAAAGCATTCATTTTTGCAAACATAGAAAGTATTTTATAAGGTAGGACACAAAGATCTATTTGAACTGCTGGGAAACTCGATTTATTTGGGAAAAACATTGAACAGCCCAAGATTTGAAATACGAATTGGCAATATCAAAGTCCAGCAAGTATAACAATTTAAATGTCTGAGAAGTGTTTTAACATAGGATAGAAAATGCGGCACCAAAATCAGAAGACGCATTGGTATAGCGAAAAATGCCTTTCAAAACCTAAGCAGAATATTACGAAACAGGAAAACTTCGCTCGAAACAAATGAAGGTATATTGAATTATTATGTAATATCAGTCATCATATATGTCAGTAAATGCTGGATAATCTCATCACAGATGAGGAGGAGACTTAAGGTAATAGAAATGTGGTTCTACAGAAGGATGCTGAGAAATTTTATAGATCAAACATATGAGCAACGGAGAAATGGAAACAAAAAGAAAATTTAACATTTACTAGACGTATTGAAGACAAGAGACAGAGGGGATATTATTGAGAATAATAAAAACAGGAAGCTGTGGAGAAACATGATCGTCTACGTTCTGAAGAAGCGTAATAGATAAATAGACAGACATATAAAAATAGACACAGACAGATAGGTAGACAGAAAAAATAGGAAAGAGATAGATAGGCATATACAGATATATACATATATACACAAACAGAGAAACAGAATATAATCAGACAGATTGACAGATTAAAAATTAATAGGTAGATTGACAAACAAATGGGTAGATAGATAGAGAAATAGAAAAATAGGCACATAGATAGATAGATAGATAGATAATGAACTGGATTAGATAGATAGATAGATAGATAGATAATGAACTGGATAGATAGATAGATAGATAGATAGATAGATAGATAGATAATGAACTGGATGGATAGATAGAGATAGATGGATAATGAATGGATGGATGGATGGATAGATAGATAGATAGAGATAGATAGATAATGAACTGGATGGATAGATAGATAGATAGATAGATAGATAGATAGATAGATAGATAGATAGATAATGAACTGGATTAGATAGATAATGAACTGGATAGATAGATAGATAGATAGATAATGAACTGGATTAGATAGATAATGAACTGGATAGATAGATGGATGGATAGATAAGAAACTGACAAACATCGACAGATAAGCAGATAAACTGATAGAAAACGTAGACTGACAAATAGAAAAATCTGTAGACAAATATGAAAGCAAACAATGAGAGATACGTATGGATAAAGAGATATATCAACAGATTGTGATAGATATACAGAATAGAAACAATATGGATGGAGTTGAGGTTGAAAAAAGAAAGATTAAAAACAGGTTTTGGATCACGTGATATTTGAAGGCACGAACTGTCACATGAATCGATATTAGGGTTCGCGAGTGAAGGAAATCGAGTAAGTACGACGTCAATTTTTCCGTTCAGCAAAACACGCTAATGTCGCCATCTTCTGTTGTTGAAACGATTTATAGAAAGAAAATGGGCTGGTGTCGAACAGATGAGGAGGTTGCTTTGATTGAAATTGGTATATTCGACTCCAAGGCAACGTTTCGTACACAAAATAACCAATGAGAACAGAACGCGAGAGATGAATACAATTACATCAGCTCTGGGTTGCCTTCAAAATCAGACAACATTTAAGAATCATTTTTTTTTTCGTAACGCATTCAGCTCGTCAATCTGCGGTAGCAAAATTTTTGTACAAGTCATTTTCCAGGATCATAGACAAGAGCAGTTTATTTTGTTCGTGTTGGCAATCTTATAAAGACGAACTATTTGTTGATGAGAAACATTATTGATATCGGCTGATTCAAAATCGGTCGTTCTTTAAATGGTTCGTTCAGCTGAAAGGCAAATTTCCTCCCTGTCACCTCTATAAAAAGAAAAGATTTTCCGCGTCTCTACACCATAATTTCTGATTCTTTTCACCTTCCGATCAAAGTATTAACTAGCTAGCTTTCTTTATTTACTGTGGCGTAAAAAAAAAAATGGCGGACAATGACGCAAACTTCTATCAACTGAAAGTGATGAGTGCGCATATGTTAACGACAAAAATTACATCTCAGATTCACCCAACCAGACGTTTGGTTATATATGTTCTTTATTTGCTTTTTTCACTTTTTCTTTTTTTATATTAAAATGAAATATAGTTATTTTTTATAGTAGCAGGCCACAAGTGTTGAACGGTAGGTCGTATCGAACATACAACAATGTTTAGTAAGATGACTTTGCTAACTATGACTCTATCTATGGCGCTAACTATGACTATCTATGGCGCTAACTATGACTATCTATGAGTCTAACTATAAATCTGTAGTGAGTTGCCAGGAAATAAATACGCTGCATATTTCCTCGTTAATCATATGTTCCGTCCATGGTATTCTCGACAGTCTTCTATAGAAACACATCACATGTGGCTCGTGTTTGCGATTCATCAATGAAGATTGATACGCATTCACTCTTACAAAAGGATGATGGATATTACATAGTTGTCTAGTACTCTCTTTTGGTTTCTAACGAGTTTTTCCTTTTTTTTAATACTTTGCTTAGCTTTTGGAAAGCATCTTTCGATAGAGACTGTAATGATTGTGCAAATTGTAATCATTCTACAAATCAATGTTAGAAATATCTCTCAATCAATATTTTTTATGCTAACTTTCCTGGTGGCTCAGGTAAAACTTTCAGTTTCCTTTGAGAGCATGGTGAGTTTCTGTGCGTTGCTTAGATGTGGCACAACGCATTTTGTGCTCAAACAGGACTTCAAATTAAAGCAATGTTCTTCATGGAATCATATATATATATATATATATATATATATATATATATATATATATATATAAGAAATATAGTTTTAAGGTGTGCTATATTTACGGAATAAATTGCTTAATATCAGAGATAGAGTGTATGTAAATATAAATATAAAAGTGAACATTGAAGTCAACACTCAGAGGCGACAGGCTGTTTCATGCTGAACGCAATCGTCAGGCGGCCTAACGATTGAGTCCAGCATGAAACTCGCCTCTGAGTGTTGAGTTCAACGTTCACTTTTATATATATATATATATATATATATATATATACACATAGATAAATATGTAGGTATAGGGGATGGAAAATAGAAAGGTAAACGTAAGTTATAATAATACACCCAAGGGAAGGCTGGAGATGTAGGGACGCTAAATTAAAAATAAGAATTATGGCGTCCGACGTGTCTATACACACAGATCAGCCGATCTATTTCGGTTTCGCAAGGTTTTAGTTTTATATTTTTTTTCTTTCACAGAAGAGAAATGCTAAGAGAAGAAACTATTAGCATAGAACGTACGGTTCTTCTTTTATAGATTAAGAAATCTGTTAGATAATCGCGAGTCTATGTTATCGTTTACTTATTACGATCATTTTAACGTTTAATCTCATTCTTTCCATAGCACTGACTTAACTCCCCATATATATATATATATATATATATATATAATCCCACTCACTGATGAACTTGGAGGTAAACATTTAACATTAACCGAATATGTGAGTTAAATCTTGTTACTTACAAGTCTGAAATATCCAAGATGTTTGTAGGTGGACGCCTTAACAGATGCAAGAATTTAGCGGAATTACTTACCTAAAAATAGAAAAAAAAAAGTATATGTGAAAAAAAGTTAACAATTTTAAAATTACATAATCTTTATTGAAAACATTCATACAATGAATGAAACACAACAATTGTAAATACTTAAAGTATTTTTCTCTCTTTCACAAACTATTTCCGAAAAATACAATGAGATTAAATTATTTCAGATATATGTTTTATCGATATACAAGCAAGCAAACTCCGTTTAACAGAAGAGAATATAGGTTGCCATATCTGTTTTGACTGACTGATTCGGTTTTTACGGCTTATCAACCCTTTGTACGTTTTTGTCTATATTTCTGAGATGAGTTATTATGTACGCTATTTACATTGTTCTGACTATCGTCCTCATCTTTGTCGCCATATTTATCACAACATTTCGGCCGTTGTACGCTCTAGCCTTCTTCAGGTGGTTGGAATGTCGAAATGAACCCTTTATTTCGCTCGTTGAGGTAGACTGTTCTAGTTCAACGTGCCATGTCTAATGGATGTCAGTTATCAGTTAACTCCTGTTAATTCCCCTCTCCAGGTTATTTAAAGCCAGTAAGTATTTTTAGATTATAAGATTTTTTTTTAAATAATAATAGTTTAGAGATGCAAATCTTACTAAACCCATTGCTAGGGGAGATGAAGTGGATTTATAACATTTCCAAGTGAATATAGCAAACTCAAGGGGAATTCGAACACGACTTTCCGATTAACAATTTCGATCCATTTTTATTACACCATCCGCACATCCAAGCTGGTATTCCAAGCGGTCACCTAGGCTAGACGTTCTTTAAAGTCAGTGATCGTACAGGAACCAATATTTCAACGTGATATGGCCGTAAGCCTCGTTTATAATCGAGGACGCATTTCTGTCTGAACATCGGAGATGATTAGTAACGTTCGCCCATACAAGTTCCATGAGGATTATTGTTCTACAAACGTATATGGACATGAAACATATATTAGAACGTTCGCTTTCTGACCATAAGATCCGGGTTCGAATCTCACCATGGTTGATTTGTCAGGGAAATGACTTCTTGATGTTATTGGTCTCAAGGAGGTGACCCCATGGTGCGGCACTCGTGCCTGAAAACCATACCGTGAAATTGGGTCGACGGAAGCAAAGCCTTGTCAGTGGAATTGGGTAGACGGAACCCAAAGATGGCTGTTCTAGCACAAAGTAACAACTCATCGTGACCGAGAGTGTGAACGTGCTGGCATTGTTCAGATCGTTGATCACGCTAGATAATATTTTTCTCTCCCAGAAACTGTAACATAGTTTCAGTATAAACCATGCTGAACAAACACGAAATGCGCCTGAGTAAGCATCTAAAAAAGGGATTAACTGGCCGCCCTAGTAGGCAGGTGTCCTCGAATACGAGTGGTCAGCCATTAACGTATGAACGTAAGAAAGGGCAAAAAGTGAAGGTCATAGGGTTATACAGGAAATATAATGGCTAACCACAGACTTGAAGAGGTCAAGATTCTAGCGGTTAGGAAAACATCCTGTCGTTTCGTATTCCAGTAGTAAGAAGCATGTTCCATTCGTACAGCTACTTCGAAGAACTGCTGCCTTGTTCCACAAAGAAGCAGTTCTCTGAAGTTCTCGCTTCTTACTACTGGAATACGAAAGAATCTGGGTCGATTCCCCCTTTTATACGTGGTATGGCGGTAGGTGACCTCGAAGTGGTGTAATGGTTAGCAAGCTAGTCTCGCTAGAACAATTACAACCGAGTAGTAAGTTCGATTCTCACCGGGTGCCCTATTATTTCGGCCTTGTATCACATCTAAGCTACGCTTGGAAAATCACTACGTGTCATGGCGTTTTCCAATTGTACAGATCAAGGATGGCGGGACCAAAGATTGTAGCTCGTCAGAACACATGCATTGGAAGTAGCCATTGAGTAGCAAAAGGTGTGCAATATTTAGTCTAAGGGAAAGGGGTTGTAGGCTGGAAAATAATACATCCCCCACAAAGTCACGTAGATGCTTTTGAACTCAATACAAGCAAATGAAGACTGGGCAGCTCCAGCCCAGCAATAAATATGGTAGAAATACCCTATTTTCGTTCTGATCTGGTTCTTGTAAAGATGGCTTATAGCAATCTATCAACTATGGTTTCCAGTATCTTTAGCAATACATCGGATATAGGAGTTCCGCTTGAGATCTGTGGAAATCAAAACAAATTGTTATCTGTCCTTCCTATTTCCAAGTTAGATTTTACTGTTCACATTATTCTTAATGATCGGTATCAAGAAAATATCTGGTCTATACGCGACGAAGAGAACATGCTTGAAAACACAGCCTCTTGCAACATTACTCGCTGGATTTATGAGTAAAGATATACTTTTGTAACGTTCAATGCTTTTCATTGTCACGGTCGGGGAGAAGAAAGTAGCAAGTTTCTAAACTTGTCAATCTGTTCACTTTCTAGTAATTAAAAATTTTCGTTTATGTTCTTTCAACTTATCTCAAGCCGTATTTATTTATTTTATAGAGGTTTCTGTACCTACGGCAGGTACCACTAAGGCAACTTCTCTATAATTATTAAAAAGAAGATTATTATGATAAACTAATTTAATCAAACTGTTTTCCTCATCTTGGTTGTTATAGTAGCACGTTTTCGCTGTTGTATTCTTTGCTTTATTAGACAATAGCTTAGAGGATGTTAGTGGAAAGTCAAAGATAATTCAGATATGGAAAGTAGAATTAGAAGAGAATTTACCAGTAAAGCATTCTGCTTTATCAATCAGCTAAATATGATAACACTTCAAAATGAATGATGAGAGGATGGATTTAACAAACTATGACGGAGCCGGCAACAGTCATTAGAAACAAATTGGCGACAGGCTATACGCTGCCTCATTGAACCAGCGAGCAAAGACGTTTGCAATTATTGTGAGCGGATACAAAGAGACGTATGTACTCATCATCTCTCGTTTACGACTGAATAGTGATTACAACTTTAACTTTGGTTAAATATTGCAGGTTACTCGACGATTGTGTCGTTCAAACCTTGGGTCAGTTAGTTAAACACATAAAAAAGATCAGATCTGTTTATCTGCCTATTTGTCGATGTTTGTCAGTTTCATATCTATCTATCTATCTATCTATCTATCTATCTATCTATCTATCTAATCCAGTTCATTATCTATCTATCTATCTATCTATCTATCTATCTAATCCAGTTCATTATCTATCTATCTATCTATCTATCTATCTAATCCAGTTCATTATCTATCTATCTATTTATCTAATCCAGTTCATTATCTATCTATCAATTTATCTAATCCACTTCATTATCTGTCTATCTATCTATCTATTTATCTAATCCAGTTCATTATCTATCTATCTATCTATCTAATCCAGTTCATTATCTATCTATCTATCTATCTATCTAATCCAGTTCATTATCTATCTATCTATCTATCTAATCCAGTTCATTATCTATCTATCTATCTATCTAATCCAGTTCATTATCTATCTATCTAATCCAGTTCATTATCTATCTATCTATCTATCTAATCCAGTTCATTATCTATCTATCTATCTATCTAATCCAGTTCATTATCTATCTATTTATCTATCTATCTATCTATCTAATCCAGTTCATTATCTATCTATCTAATCCAGTTCATTATCTATCTATCTATCTATCTATCTATCTAATCCAGTTCATTATCTATCTATCTAATCCAGTTCATTATCTATCTATCTATCTATCTATCTAATCCAGTTCATTACCTATCTATCTATCTAATCCAGTTCATTATCTATCTATCTAATCCAGTTCATTATCATCTATCTATCTAATCCAGTTCATTATCTATCATCTATCTATCTAATCCAGTTCATTATCATTATCTATCTATCTATCTAATCCAGTTCATTATCTATCTATCTAATCCAGTTCATTATCTATCTATCTATCTATCTAATCCAGTTCATTATCTATCTATCTATCTATCTAATCCAGTTCATTATCTATCTATCTATCTATCTAATCCAGTTCATTATCTATCTATCTAATCCAGTTCATTATCTATCTATCTATCTATCTATCTAATCCAGTACATTATCTATCTATCTATCTAATCCAGTTCATTATCTATCTATCTAATCCAGTTCATTATTATCTATCTATCTATCTATCTATCTATCTAATCCAGTTCATTTATCTATCTATCTATCTATCTATCTAATCCAGTTCATTATTATCTATCTATCATATCTATCTATCTAATCCAGTTCATTATTATCTATATCTATCTATCTAATCCAGTTCATTATCTATCTAATCCAGTTCATTATCTATCTATCTATCTAATCCAGTTCATTATCCATCTATCTATCTATCTAATCCAGTTCATTATCTATCTATCTATCTATCTATCTAATCCAGTTCATTATCTATCTATCTATCTATCTATCTAATCCAGTTCATTATCTATCTATCTAATCCAGTTCATTATCTATCTATCTATCTAATCCAGTTCATTATCTATCTATCTATCTATCTAATCCAGTTCATTATCCATCTATTCATTATCTCCAGTTCTATCTATCTATCTAATCCAGTTCATTATCTATCTATCTATCTAATCCAGTTCATTATCTATCTATCTATCTAATCCAGTTCATTATCTATCTATCTAATCCAGTTCATTATCTATCTATCTATCTAATCCAGTTCATTATCTATCTATCTAATCCAGTTCATTATCTATCTATCTAATCCAGTTCATTATCTATCTATCTAATCCAGTTCATTATCTATCTATCTAATCCAGTTCATTATCTATCTATCTATCTATCTATCTATCTATCTAATCCAGTTCATTATCTATCTATCTATCTATCTATCTAATCCAGTTCATTATCTATCTATCTATCTATCTAATCCAGTTCATTATCTATCTATCTATCTATCTATCTATCTATCTAATCCAGCTCATCAGAAAAACAGGTAAAATTTATTGGGCACATACAGAAAAAAGTGGGGGTGTTTGTCTTTGCGAATAGGATACGTCAAAAGCACAAAGAAACAGGGGAAGGCAGTGGACTTCCCACCAGACCAGATTGCGTGAATAGATGGCGTAACGGGGGTGAGATGGACAAATATCGCTACGAGCTAGAAATGATGGAAGATTGCGTAGGGCCATGATCGCTCACGTCACATAAAAAAAAACAACGACTCTGATTCAGCGGAAAAAAGCAAAAGCGGGCCTCACAAAGGCGATATATGAAAAGGGCGTGATGATACAAGTAATAACTAAAACGAGTATTCTCCCTCGTCATAGAATTCGGTATAAGAACAGTTAACCGATTGGATTATATAAATGGTTCAGGCCAAAGTTTCGAGAGTATAAACCAATACAACACCTGTAATAGGCCGGAGAGTATAGGGACCGAAACGTTCTGGTAAAATAAACTAGATCAGGACAAGAGTTTGAGTAAATCAGTGACAAATACGATAAAGTTGCAATATTAAAATTAATCAATAGTTCCGAATTATTGCCACTTGATTAAATTATTTAGGGTAATGGTAATAGAATAATTATCCGTTTCCATAGATGAAGCTTTCGACATTCATTTGACCAGACGGTTGCCGGCTCCGTAATAGTTGATAAAGCAGAATGCTTTACTGGTAAATTCTCTTCTAATTCTACTTCCAATATCTGGAGTATTTTTGTCTGACTTTCCACTAACAACAAGCTCTCTATCCTGACAGATACATATAACACCGCCCATGTTTCTGCTATCATCTCTAAAGTTCATTCAAACAAAGAGTGCACATTCTATGTTATCCCTGCTACAATCCTTAAGAAGTGTTCTCCTGATCTGGTTCCTGTTTTCCAACACATATCTTGCGGTTTCATGCTCTCCAGCTCTTTTGAAATCATTTTCTGTGGTTCCTGTTTTTAAGAATTCGACCTATTAGTTTTCTACCTTCTTTTGACTATCGATATAAAAATCACACAATTTTCGGCATTAATATGCATATTTCGTGAAAAACATGGAGAAGTAGGGACGTAAAAAAATGATTAATCGTCAATTTGTTTCAATTTTTGTTGCAAAATTTGTTTTATTACATTTCAATTTAGTCTCAACATTGTGCACTGAATGTCGGCAAGAAAGGAATTTTTAGTGGTTCAGAATTAATACAAGCTTTACTGTCACAATAAGGATGATTTATTTTATAATTCTGTCTATATTTCTGAGATGAGGTATTATGTACATTATTTACATTATTCGAACTATTGTCTTCATCTTTGTCGCCATATTTATTACAACGTTTCGGCCGTTGTACGCTCCGGCCTTCTTCAGGTGGTTGGAATGTCGAACTGAACCCTTTATTTCGCTCACTGGGGTAGACTGTTCTAGTTCCATGTGCCATGGATAAAGGCGTTAGTTAGATCCAGTGACAGGACCCAAAAAGTGTGAGTTCAATACCCATTTAAGGCAGTGGAGAACTTTTAGAGGAAAATTAACAGGAGATAACTGATAACTGACATCCATTAAACATGGCACGAGGAATTAGAACAGTCTACCCCAGTGAGCGAAATAAAGGGTTCAGTTCGACATACCAACCACCTGAAGAAGGCCGGAGCGTACAACGGCCGAAACGTTGTAATAAATATGGCGACAAAGATGAGGACAATAGTCCGAATAATGTAAATAATATATTTTATAATTCTTGAATATTTCTCATATTAAAAATTGTTGTTTTTAAATATATAATTGATGATTATCTAAATACATTTTAAGTAGATTTAAAAATAAAATTAACCGCAATATTAGACCGCCATTAAGATCTCATCAATTTAGAGTTGAGCTGGCTAGATGTCACCATAAGTTCTATGCACTTCTCGCTTGTGGAACACCCATCCAGCTCAATGCTTTCCGGCCAACGTTACTCTGCAAAAAATGTAATGTCAATCGCTATCTACTGAACTGATTACTCTTTTCTCTTATCGATCGTTATTAATGTTTTTGTTTCTAATTCTTCCAGACCCTGTAACTCCTTGTGTCTTAGTGGCTTTATTATCTTGCATGGGTTGGTGCCGTCTTAGTGGCTTTACTGCCTTGGATGGGGTGATGCCGATATAAAAAGAAAAAGTATCTTAATAAAATTGAAGATTATTAAAATTAATCTTTTAAGCCTTAACACACAACTATGCTCTCAGTAATTGAATACTTCTCGGTAATCTAAAGAAAATTAGAAATTTATCAAAAGCTAAGGAGAAATGGGAGGATTTGTATAGCCGCTTCAATACATACGGGTCTGTGATAGCTGAGTATCTAATAAATAACTGTGTGTGCCAAAGAAAAAGTTCTTGACTGGTAAGTCCAGGGCTCTTCGTGGCCTCTCGTTTAAGTCGTGACATGAGACGACGGGAAATAACCCTTGGCTTGCCTTTATCTGCCCTTTTTCGTACTTGTGTAGGGTCGGCGGTGAACTTTTTTGCTGTTTGATGACACCTTCCTATCATTTTAGAAATTTCTAGGGTAGATTTACCTTTTGAGAGTTCTGAGGTGATAGTTTTCTTTTCAGCATCACTTAAATTGCTTTTACGGCCCATCTTTTCACTAAATTCTTACACTTTTCTAATAATTTGGCACGTTCAAATCATTGTGCTGATAACAAATATGGCGCCAGTTTGTTTACATTGCGCAGATCAGTACAAAAATTTCAGTGATTGCGCAGGTTAGTGTTTCTAATACTGTGTGAAAATTTTGTGTGAATTATTTGAACGGTTTTTGAAATATTTGAAAAAAGTTATCTCAATAATAATCGAGATAACTTTTTTCAAATATTTACAAACACTGCGTACCAAATAATTAACACAAAATTTTCAAAACCGTTAAAAATTCACTAATGTATATATATATATATATATATATATATATATATATATATATATATATATATATATATATATATTGCTCTGTTTTGAAACATATATGGAAAATGTATCTGTTTCGGTGGCTATAATAAAATGTTGTAATCCCAGGAAAAGATTTAAATTTATCTAAATTATATCTAAAAGAGGAACTTAATGTGAATCGACATATCCAGACTTGATGAGCTTGTACAGTTGTCTTGTGCAAGACTAAACCTCGCTTTTTGAATAGGTCTTTCCACAAATTGTATTAAGAGGCGTCAGTCAGTTAGTTATGCGCCGTACGTGATACACTCTTAGGCGATCATGTATCTTTTGATACATAAGTAACAAGGCATATTTTTCCCCGCATTAGGTTGCCATTTCTTTCTGCAGTAGACCAGTTGCCATCCAAGGCTATAGAACCCGGTCTGTCATGCTATTTACCTATATCTGAGTGGGGAGGAGAAGAAGAGGATTCATACCTTTCCCGAGACTATTAGCATGTAAGTGAATGTAATGGGATCAAGTGGAATTCGAACTCGGCTCAATCCGACTCGCTATCCATTACTCCACCATCCTTCCCCGATAGAGGTGTACACTGAATTATTTTTACATCAACGAGACATACATGCATTTTTATTCGAATACGACAATGCCCTTGTAAAAATGTTGCTAAAAAGTCCTTTCTGTCTGTTTCTTTTCTGTTACTCTCTTTGGCAATTAATGTCTATGGACCTCACTAATCAGACCCGGGAGATTTTAACCCGGTAGATATTTCTATTCTAATCAATAAACTGCCGTCAAGTGAACACTTGCGTCTACTAATCGAACACTAGTAATGTCTATTATTACCATTTTTTTTTATATCCACGCGTAATGAATATAAAGATCAAAGCATCGTTTCTTAGACTGAAATTGTTTGTTTTCAGTTTGAAACTTTTGTAAATAATTCTTCTGACTAAGAGTCGGGCAAAAATAGAGGCGTCGATATAACGAATCCATTCTTGCATAATTATCTAAGAGATTTCAATTTCTAAGGCATATTTCTTGTTTTTATACTTACAACCAGTAAAGTGAAGCGGTTAATGTCCAATAGGAATTATTTGTTGCATCAAATTTAGTCCGTAATGAATGGAAGTGGTAAGTTTGATCAGTCAGATCAGGTCGGAAGTGGATGAATGTATGGTAGCCGGGGAAAGACTGTTCGGTCGTTATTTTCGACTTGATTAGGTAGGCACTATTTTTGTCTTTCTGATTTAGATGAAGTGGGCGGATTACAGACAGTCGATAAGAGATGATCAAATGACACATTTGTGCCTCCCCTCGCAACCACCAAGGAATCTATATTTTTTAGACGTTTCTTTTTTCATCAACAAATCAGGTGTGTCAGTTAATAAAGTGGGAACATATAACAGGAGAGAGAGAGAGAGAGAGAGAGAGAGAGAGAGAGAGAGAGAGAGAGAGAGAGAGACAGACAAAAAAGTGTATATCTGAGAGAGAGAAAAATGTGTATATCTGAGAGAGAGAGAGACAAATGTGTATATCAGAGATAGAAAACGAGAGATGGGGTATAAGAAACATATAGTGTGTAGCTGAGAGAGGTTGAGAAAGAGTGAAATGGGGTATATTTGTGAAAGATATGGCGTATATCTGAAAGAGAGAGAGAGTTAGATGAAAGAATATATGAGAGATAAAAATGTGTTTTAGGAAGTGGGGCAGATAAAAGTGTGTATCTGAAAGAGATAGAAATGTTTATATATATATATATATATATATATATCAAAAAGATGATATATACATTTGTCAATACCAGGACAATGTTAGGAAAATCAATGATAAAGGGAAAAATATAAAAATAACAAAAATGATAAAAATATGAGCAAAAGGAAAAGAAACTAAATGAAACGAGCTCGACTATATACCAAAACATAAAAAAAAATAAAAATAAAAGTTTAAAATTTCAGCATTGACCATCTCCTTCCTGCACATGTGTAATTGCATTAACTTAAACATCGCTTTAGTCCGATGAAATTATAAATTACGAAACGCGTTAGCTGAATATGTTTCTCAACCACATTCATTTT